CCTCAAATTTAGATTCGCCTAAACTCTAGAAAAATATAGAGAGAGGAGTCCTCGATTCCTATTGAGGGAATACCGGTACCTATAACAACAGCTCTAATCTAGAGAAACACAAATCAATATCTGAATGTGATCTTAATTGTTTTTTGACGTGTAACATGCCCAGAATTATTGGACATTTCTATCTACATTATTTTCAGCATCATGAATCTGAAAGAGTTTTCTGCAACTTAAATGTTTATCTACATTGTTCTCCGCATCTTGAATCAGTATCTACATTATTGTCTGCATCTCGAATGTGTATCTACATTCTTCTCTGCATCTTGAATATGTATCTACATTATTGTCTGCGTCTTGAATGTGCAAGAGAGAACTTTGTTTAAGTCGTAATATTTATAAGATAATATGAAGAAAATGGTTGTCATGTATTTAAAAAAAAAATATTATTTTGCTATAAATACAAAAAATGTTTTAAGTTCATATATCTCAGAACACATAAATAAAGAACTTAAACACTTTGATAGATCATTTCCTCACAGATAAATAAAGAACTTGAACACCTTGATAGATCATTTCCTAGTCACTATAAATCTACCCGATCATGTCCAAGCTTCTAGTTTGTTAGAACTTGCTTCAATGATATTCAACTAGAGTCAAATGGTGTGCCATCTGAGTGAAAAGCTTCAAAAAAATATATATAATTTCTACTTTAAATAAAACTAGATTTAAAACAAAATAAATGCATTTATTTTTCTTATTTTTTTTTTTTTAAATTAATTTTTTTTAAGGAAGGACGCATAACCGTTTATGAATGTTATAGGCAATTAATAGTTTAAGTACGTAGTGTGTAGGGGTGGGGTAGGGCGGGGGGGAGGAATATGTTTTGCCGGCTGTATACAAAATGTATTTCAGTGTGGTGTCAAACCAAGTATTCTTTTAAAGATGATAAGGCCTTTTTGTATGATTTCTTTTTTTTTTTTAAATTTAATTTAAGAATTTTGGGGGATTCTTGTGAAAGGGCGGGCGACTATTTTTTTACAGGGGAGAAATGGATTGACAGAAAGGCGATTGGTTGAACATGAACACACATCCCAATGTCAAACAAACTTCTTCACACAAACCGTCATGGCCGAGGAACAGCTGGGAATGTTTAAGGGATCGATCCAGGCGTGTGTGGGTCGTTTCCGGGAAAGGCCGATCGTGTATCCTTGAAGTTTAGGGCTGTGATGAACTCTTCCGAAATCTGATTTATGTATAATTGTGGCACACTTTCCTTGGGGTCAAGTCGACCAGATGGTCCGGCGAGAAGGTAACAAATGGGGAAAACATGTTAGATTCACTATACTGATAATGAAGACACAACGAGTTACAGATGAGTTACAAATTTAGATTCACTACTGATAATGAAGACACACCGAGTTACAGATTAGTAAAAAATTAGATTCATCACTGATAATGAAGACACGATGAATTCCTGAGTTACTCCAGGGATTAATTGTATTCTTTTGTAAATTTAATAATATAAAACTAAATCAAGAACTGAGAACAAATATCGCACGAAATAATAATATTAAGAGGAAACAAGTCTTTATTCTAATACAGACTGATTGGAGAATTGATAGGAAAATTGATAGGATAATTGATAAGAGAATTGATAGGAGACTTGATAGGAGAATTGAAAAGTGCACAATCAAGAAATAATAGTAGAAAGAACTATCTTAAAAGAAGTACTGTTACGCAATTAGTACTGTTACACAATTAGTACTGTTACACAATTAGTACTGTACACAATTAGTACTGTTAACCAAATCAGTAAATTCTAGCAGTGATGGGCTTAAAACCAAACTGGCAGTGATAAGCTTAATACCAAACTGGCAGTGATAAACTTAATACCAAACTGGCAGTGATAAGCTTAATACCAAATTGACAGTGATAAGCTTAATACCAAACTGGCAGTGATAAGCTTAATACCAAACTGACAGTGGTAAGCCTAATACGAAACTGACAAGCCTTGGGGGTTAAGTATCACGAAATATTTACTGGATTCAATTATTTAGCCAGTTCATATTCCAAATAAAAGGTTTTTCGACAACATGGCATTTTTCACCTCTTCCGTTCCCACCCACCCCCCCCCCCCCACCCCCACCAATATCTGTAACTCCACACACCCATACTCCCATATTACTGCACTCCAAAATCCCCCAAAACTGCAGTTGCGCTCTCCTCCTGTGACTTTCCTTCCCTTAAGCCTGTCGATCAGTTCTTCAACCCTTCCCTGAAAATCGTCCTCAACAAATGGACTAATCCTAGTCCCTCAAATAATTGGAGCACTTACAAGCCGCAACCAATAGTTTGGGGTCAAACTGTGACAAGGCCTGGGACATTACACAGATTAAGTGGGGGATTAATAAGGTATTTAAAAGTAGCTGCAAAATTCTTATGATTCAGCTCTGGTGTTGTGGTAACGGAAAACATAATTTAACATTTATTTTCTGTTTTAAAAAAATAAATACTGTGGACGGTAGGTGTCAAGGATGTTGTAGACAAAAATGTTAACATTTTATTTGTGAAATTACAAACTGGTTTCTGCTTTAAAATTGATTAAGATTTCGCATTACCTTAATTGTGTATGTTGATAAAAAAGGTTTATTTGAATTTTAAAAAAACCAACATAAGATTTGACCGGCTTCATCCGAGGCTATTACACATCTGATAAGTTTTAGGCTTATTTTGTTTAATTAGTTTGTTAAATGCAAATTTGTTTCATCTCTCTACCCTTCTTATTGTCTGTGTTTCATTGTTAGACAACTTGGCCTGACCCTTAACGGAGAAAATGATTCAAACGTTTAAATCTAAATAATATATCAACAGTACGTTCGGTGCTAATGACATCGGCAAAAGAAGATAGAAGACTTAAAAACGTACCTGCGGATCACAAGATGAATCTACCGTACACAGCAATAATTAGCTTCATAAGATACTGGGCTCCTTTTAGAAAAAAAGTTGAAGACTTGAATGTCTGATTGTCGTATGACCACGCGTTCCCTCGTTAAGACTTGAATGTCTTATTGTCGTTTTACCACGCGTTCCCCCGTTAAGACTTGAATGTCTTATTGTCGTTTTACCACGCGTTCCCCCGTTAAGACTTGAATGTCTGATTGTCGTTTTACCACGCGTTCCCCCGTTAAGACTTGAATGTCTGATTGTCGTTTTACCACGCGTTCCCCCGTTAAGACTTGAATATCTGATTGTCGTATTACCAAACGTTTCCCCCTTAAGACTTGAATGTCTGATTGTCGTATTACCAAACGTTCCCCCGTTAAGACTTGAATGTCTGATTGTCGTTTTACCAAACGTTCCCCCGTTAAGACTTGAATATCTGATTGTCGTATTACCAAACGTTTCCCCCTTAAGACTTGAATATCTGATTGTCGTATTACCAAACGTTCCCCCGTTAAGACTTGAATGTCTGATTGTCGTTTTACCACGCGTTCCCCCGTTAAGACTTGAATATCTGATTGGCGTATTACCAAACGTTCCCATGTTAAGACTTGAATGTCTGATTGTCGTTTTACCACGCGTTCCCCCGTTAAGACTTGAATGTCTGATTGTCGTATTACCAAACGTTCCCCCGTTAAGACTTGAATGTCTGATTGTCGTTTTACCACGCGTTTCCCCGTTAAGACTTGATTATCTGATTGTCGTATTACCAAATGTTCCCCCGTTAAGACTTGAATATCTGATTGTCGTTTTACCACGCGTTCCCCCGTTAAGACTTGAATGTCTGATTGTCGTATTACCAAACGTTCCTTCGTTTAGACTTGAATATCTGATTGTCGTATTACCAAACGTTCCCCCGTTAAGACTTGAATATCTGATTGTCGTTTTACCACGCGTTCCCCCGTTAAGACTTGAATGTCTGATTGTCGTATTACCAAACGTTTCCCCGTTAAGACTTGAATGTCTGATTGTCGTTTTACCAAACGTTCCCCCGTTAAGACTTGAATATCTGATTGTCGTATTACCAAACGTTCCCCCGTTAAGACTTTAATATCTGATTGTCGTATTACCAAACGTTCCCCCGTTAAGACTTGAATATCTGATTGTCGTTTTACCACGCGTTCCCCCGTTAAGACTTGAATATCTGATTGTCGTATTACCAAACGTTCCCCCGTTAAGACTTGAATATCTGATTGTCGTAATTACCAAACGTTCCCCCGTTAAGACTTGAATATCTGATTGTCGTATTACCAAACGTTCCCCCGTTAAGACTTGAATGTCTGATTGTCGTTTTACCAAGCGTTCCCCCGTTAAGACTTGAATATCTGATTGTCGTATTACCAAACGTTCCCCCGTTAAGACTTGAATGTCTGATTGTCGTATTACCAAACGTTCCCCCGTTAAGACTTGAATGTCTGATTTTCGTATTACCACGCGTTCCCCCGTTAAGACTAATAACAAATATATGGATAATTCAACTCGCAGCATCTCGTCACGGCCGATGCTAACATCCATCTGTATGTTGGACCGTGACCATGGCTCTCATGTTGTAGCCTAGACCCCCTACCCGGCCACCTGACTGTAAGAAACGTACTGGTGTGCCGGGACACCCGTTTGGCACTTCTCTGATCCATGTCTGCATTGTCCAGAGATATTGTCATCTCAGTGTGGCAAAACAGACTAAGATGCCATTGATCCTTCAAAGCTATTATTGAATTTTTTTTAATTTTTTTTTTCTGTAATTTAAAAAAATACTGCACAGTTATTTAAAGTCGTTTGCTGAATTAAATTTTATTTTCATTCTTGTTATCGGACACAATCGTAATATGTTCAATTTTTTTTTAACAATAAACAATTTCATTTGATAAGCTAATATTTAAATAATACTTTGTTTATCTTGATATTTACTATTTAATTTTTGACGATTCACCAATGATTAAATATGAACGTGGATTGACCTTCCATAATTTCTAATTAAACAGAGCTGGGGTAGAAGGATGATGATGTCTACATGTTTGCCGATTGTATTGGTGTGCGCATTCCTTGCGATGAACACGTGTTCAGCCATTGGCGACTTTGACCAAGTCAAGACGTCATGTTCAAATGCGTGTCAAGTCACCGTTGACCTCTGCAAGGCCGCAGCCCAAAGCTCTGATGCCAAGGTCACCACCAACTGCGACCTCATGACGGCAACTGCCCACAACGTCACGAGCCACCAATGTCTAGTTAAAAACGGATTGTGCACCCAAAACGAATTTATCAAGCTGAAAAACGCAGCTTGCAACGAATCGGTGGAAGCAAAGTCTGTCGAATCGAGCAAAGTTCCACTGTATAGCACAACTATAAGCAAATCCTGCCTCACCGTTACTTTAAATTGTATTCGAGATTCCAGAGTGTCGACCGTGTTGAAGCAACAAGACCAATATTGTGAGATGTTCAGACATGAAAGGACCGCAATCTGTTTAAACCATACGTCATGTCGCTCCGGCGAAGTCATCGCTCTCAACACCGCCTCCTGTCAGAATTCATCCACAACAACAGGCGGCTTCTCTGCTGCCATCATAGCAAGCTCACGTTCATACAAGTTCGGGCTGGACGGCTGCAGTTCTGGCGTGAGTGAAGTCGAATTTTTGATCCAAAGGGAGCAATACTGCTCGGCGATGAACGTCAAAATCAAGGGCTATCGAAGTCCTCACGAGTGTCTCGTTGACGACCAGAGTTTCTGCACGCAGTCAGAGTGGGATACGTTGATGCAGGCAGCTTGCGGCGCCTCGGCCTTACACGTGACCTTTGCGACTGTTCTTACCTGTCTCATCTCTGCTATTTTCAAAATAGTTATGCTGTAAAAAATATTTTAAAAAAGCATGAGATTTTCATGGTAATTTTCTTTATCTTACCCCTCTCTTTGTCTGACAATGGTAATTTTCTTTATCTTACCCCTCTCTTTGTCTGACAATGGTAATTTTCTTTATCTTACCCCTCTCTTTGTCTGACAATGGTAATGTAGTTTCTCTGCCTCGCTAGAAACCACTTCTGGTTGGTTTTCATGACTTGGGGTGACATAATATGTAATTGAAGTGTATCAGATGGTATTGGGCTTTCGTGAGAGTACAGTGTCATATGGATGCCAAGTTTTCGCCCATACATAATGTGTTGGCTTGTCTCTGTTGGCATCGCAACTGTGAACCACGTTCGAAGATTATCGTAATGTGTTAAGTGTGTAGTTGGGGGGGGGGCGATATTTGAAACTGAACTAACACGTTTTCTTGTTGATTTCATTGTTTGAGTTGTGGCTGTAGTTGTCGTCCGTGCTAATCTAAATATTTTGTTTTTAATTTGGATTTTAGATTTTTTTTGATTTGACAAGTAAAAGAGTAATTTTTTTTCTTACAGTATATTCTTGTGGTGTTTGTGTTTCATGTGGTTTTCTTGGTACTATTTGAATTGGGTCAAATTTATTGCTTAACCCTGCGACTTCGAAATTCAAATGCATCCAAATGGATTTATAAGTTAGAAATTTCATTAGAAAAATAAAATCTTATTGAATTGCTTGTCTGTATGTATGCATGTGTTACATTTTAAAATAAAAATTAACCTTATTTGATCAATTTTAGAAGAAGAAAAATTGAATATTTGGTTTTTATTAAATATTATTTTTATCTTGCGTACGTTATCTCTTCATTTCGCATTAAAATAATGAGTGTAATGTAAATGAGAAAAAGTAAAGCTGTTTATGGCATAACGAATTCTCGAAAAATGGGTCCATTAATACCTGGCGCTAACTTCTTGGTAATTGTTTTTTTTTTCTTTTGTTTTTTGTTTTTTGTTGTTGTTGTTTTTTTTTTTTTTTTTTTTTTTTTTTTTTTTTTTTTTTTTTTTTTTTTTTTTTTTTTTTTTGGGGGGGGTGGGGGCTAAATGAAGTGTGGATGGCGTGCTTTGAAACAAATTTACTGTGCATATCATGACATGTAAAACGACTCATGGATTCATTAACACTGTGCAAGAGATTTTATACTAAAAATTTGGTGTCTGCTAGGCACGTATTTGTTAGTGTCATAGATTTGTACAAAAATCTTTAAACAATACAAATATGAAACAGTTTTATGAACACATCAGTTTGTTGAATGGAGCCAGGTGTTGACTATCTCCATACGTCCCAATTCTTAGCGGTGACGTGGTTCTGTGTGGGTTTTTTTTTTTTTTTTGGTTTTTTTTTTTTTTTTTGGTTTCTTTTTTTTTTGACTCACAGGTTCACGCATGCAGAAACACACACACACACAGAGACGCACCCATGTGCACACATTACATTAATTTAAAAATAGTATGGGGGGGGGGAACGTTTCCTGTGACAGAATCGACTTTATGAAACGTCCTGAATGTGTGGCAGCTGTGCGGTGTTGGCTCAATCACGTCACTCTAAAGTCATCAGTTACCTCCTTTGACCTACTTACGAGCCCCAGTGACGTGGCTATGGACAGCTCCAAGTACGTACATGATCTAAACACCGAGTAATCAGATAATCTCACAAACTATAATCAAACAGCTTCTACTAGTTCCGGTACAAGGCCGTACTGATCTAACAACATTTGACTGACGTTGCGCCCTTCAACACTTGCCTATTACGTCAGAGTAAGAGCTCATTTTAGCACGCACGAGTTAATTTAAGCCAGTGGTTCTCAACCTTTCTAATGCCGCGACCCTTTGATACAGTTTCTCATGTTGTGGCGACCCCCAACCACAAAATTATTTCGCTGCTACTTCATAACTGTAGAGTATATGTGTTTTCCATAATTTCCGATGGCCTTAGGCGACCCCTGAGAAAAGTTCGTTTGACCCCCAAAGGGGTCGCGACCCACAGGTTAAGACCCGCTGATTTAAACGATCCGTCCCGAAGGTGGTCCGTTGTTTGAACGCTGCACCGTCAGTGACGTGCTTGGCGTCTGTAAAATGAGAGCGTTTGGACTTTCCAAATAAATTGAAGGTTACAGTTACTATTGGACGTGGGGGCAATTAACCACTATCAATATTTTCGCTGAAATTATGTATAACTCTGGATGGGAAGACTATTTCAATGTACCAAACCTTTGTGCCATCAGTGACTCGTGCTTTTCAATCTGCATTGGAATGTTACGTAATTAAAAGATAGTTCAACTTCATTTTTGACGGTATCCCCCTCCACATCACCTCTTCACTCCACCCAAACCTCCCTTGTCATCGTTTTAGGCCAATTTCCCCCACCCCCTCATAATTTAAGCCCCCCCTCACCTCCCCCGTATCCCCTTTCTACCTTATCCCCACCCATCCACAAAACAATGCCTTACAAATGCTTTAACCGTCACTACTAACCTTTCTTACACCGCTTCCAACCTATCTTACACCGCTACCAACCTATCTTACACCGCTACCAACCTATCTTACACCACTACCAACCAATCTTACACCGCTTCCAACCAATCTTACACCGCTACCAACCTATCTTATACCGCTACCAACCTATCTTACACCACTACCAACCAATCTTACACCACTACCAACCAATCTTACACCGCTACCAACCTATATAACACCACTACCAACCTATATAACACCACTACCATATATATCTGGCAACCCCTGCCTCATTTATCACTCACACTGGCTTTACCAGACTGCAGAGAATAGAGTTGTCGTGTGTGTGGAGTAGAGTGGTACTGACTTAGACGTCATGGAGTAGAGTGATACTGACTTAGACGTCATGGAGTAGAGTGATACTGACTTAGATGTCATGGAGGAGAGTGATTCTGATTTAGATGTCATAGAGTAGAACGATACTGACTTAGATGTACGATTTGAATTATTTCCCCTAAAATTTTGGACCTAATGTGATACATCGTTTTTTTTTTACTGTGGCTGTTTTTTTATCGGTACTCGACGGACAACCAAATTCGTCTTTAATTAACACCCTCCCTTACCATCCCTACTGACAAACCTATTTTCCACCCCTACTTATCATCCTTACTTTACTTCCTCACCATGTGATTTCCAAATTATTTTTTTTCCAAAATATTCATAACTTTTTAGTGACCCCGACACAATCAGAATATCCTCAAACCCCCTCTTCTCGTTGTTCTGAGACGGCATTCAAATAAATGTCACGTTTCAGTGTACAGTCGCCATCGAGCTGGCCCAGCTCACTCTTAGACTAGACACATGTTCACGGAACCCCTGACCGTTCGTACTTAAAACTAAACAAGTTAACTTCCCCAAGAATGCAGTAACCATAAGGGAGGACTTCACATGTATTGGTTGCAAAATGATCCATATGATTGCCGAAGATGACGTTCGTGTTGTAAAAGGGAAGACGAGAAAGCGATTATACGACAGACTAAAAGAACATCTTCGTAAGATTGAACGAAAAGAGTAATCTCCTGTCTCACCCCGTTGATTTCTTATGCTAATATGCCAGTTAGAAAGAAAATGATTCACTTCAAATTTTTGTTAGCACATCACCTATGGAATCAATAAAAAAATATAAAAAAAAAAACTTTCCAACTAGTAATCTTCTATTTTTCTCCTATTCTGTAATACATTCATTGTATTTTAATTTCATATTTCCATTTAAAATTTGGCCCTTCCTACTAACTGATGCTTTTATTTCGGTTTCAAAAAGCCTCGTGTAAAAGATTTGCAAAGTATCAGTGCTAAATTCTGAATTTTTATTTTTATTTTCTATTTTTTGTTTGCTGTGCTTGTTGACGAAGGCTCACAGCCGACACGTTCTACTGATTGTTCTTTGCGGAAATTTTGCTCCATAAATTCAGGTGTGTCCTTTTGGGTCAATTGCAAAGTTGTTGTTGTTTTTTGGTGGGTTTTTTTATTTTTGTGTGGAGCTCTTGTCGTCCGTGCGTTCATTTATATGCATGTACAAGAACATTCCCTTTTAATATGGGAAGTTATCTGGCGACATTTCAGACCAGGAAATGTACGTGCCCCAGTGGCGTAGCTAGGGTTCATGCCGACCCGGTGGGGGCCAAGGTGTTCCCGTCCCCCTTCCATGAAAAGGCTGCAGTATGCCGGAAAATGCCGCCCCCTCAATGTAAAGAAGAGAATATGACGCCCGGGCGGACCCCCCATATCCCCCCCCGCCCCCCCCCCAATTTCTTATAAAACTGTTTTGCCCTCAGTTGTATGGCTATATGTGTACGTTATATGTCATATGACACAACCACGGTAACACAGGAAAGCTCTTTCAAAATTTGGGTTAATTTTTTTTATTCAGATCGGGAAAAAGAAGTAAAAACCATGCGAAAATTGAGTTGTTGTTTTTAAAATTATTATTTCAATTAATCTTTTTTCTTGAAGTCTAAATCATCATGTACAGGAAAGTAAAGTTGACCTGCATGTCAGTATAAACTTTTTGTCATTGTGTCCGATGTAACCAACACTCCTCCCCACCCCCCCCCCCCCCCCCCCCCCCCCCCCCCCCCCCCCCCCCCCCCCCCCCCCCCACCCAATGTACAGGAAAGTAAAGTTGACCTGCCTGTCAGTATAAACCTTTTGTCATTGTGTCCGATGTAACCCACCCCCCCCCCCCCCCCCCCCCCCCCCCCCGCCCCGGTCCCTCCGTGTCCCCTGACATTCCACCAGGTACTCACATTAAGTTTCTACACGATGCACAATGACCAGGATGGAGGCTAACTTTAGATGAGTGACGTCGAGGTTTTCCTGGTACTCCCCCGCACTGACAACGTAGTCTCGATCGT